GGATTGAACAGGAGCGAATCATCATGGATTTACCGGTATCTGTTAGAGAACGCGGTTCGAGGTGACGGTGCTCGTGCGCAGCAACGGAAACATGCTTGTGAAACAGGAAGTCACGTTCTCATAGTTTCATCGAAGGCATCTGGAGTACGAGAAGACTTAACTCTCAAGCCAATTTTACCTGAAAAAGGAAAAGCTATGAGTGAAATTTATCGCAATTTTAGATAGCCATTCAATTCTTGCACTCATCTAGCTGAAATATCTCTCAAATACTTTAGTTAGAAGTCAAAAAAATGAGGATAAAGGGTAAAACTCTGGGCGTTGATTAATCTAAGGGACGTGCCATCCATTCAACATCGTCAAGCGTCGTTGGAGTGACTGGATGCATATCTGGTCTATACATTGACTCGAGCTAGCTTGCCGATGTATCGATCCAGTATTGCTATCCTCCCAGACAAGTCTGGTATCAATTTGCCAATCCCCGGAGGCATAGAAGGCTTAGTGGATCTGGGGCGTGGAGATCAGTCCCATGCGTAATGCGTGGCGCTTCCGAACACTTCGCTATACGCGCTCTAAGAATGGGCTTAGTTCATGAAAAGAACGTTGTGGGCATAGGTGGTGCCACTGTTTGTTAATACACTTCATTTCCTTTGTAATTTACATATAATACCTTGTGATGACATATAATCAGTTGAGTTTGAACTGCTGTTTCTACGTAAAACCGTCTGAGCTGTTAGAGAACTTTTTTTTAACGTGTCTGGAATCTGTGTGCTCTTTTAACAGCACCTTTTACGATCTGTGACCTTACTTCAAGTTAATTATAGCGATCTACTTATTACGTTGACATCCGTTCGGATTGTCAGTTTGGATGGTTTCGACTTGTCGTGAATACATTTGATAATAGTCGTTCTCCGTCATGTTAATATTGCGGTGTTTTCGTTGTTTTGAAATGATTTTCCACCGTGTTTCGTCGTTAAGAACATCGTCATTCGTTCATCATAGTTGATTCCTGTACATACTTATTTACAGCGACTCAGTTAATGCCGACTTACTGCTTCGACGGTACGATTACTCGTTGAGTGATGGACATTGTTGTATTCTTAGCGTTAACAGTACTTGCTGCCGTGTTCGTTGTATCACTGTTGGTTCTGCTCGTGATGTGTCAAAGACGAAGAATGCAAATCAGAACCTTTAAAGTAAGTTTAGTAATCGGTAACTTCTTGTTTTCATTCTTATCTTCTTCATTTCGGGTGACTATCTCCTTTGAAGAAGTATATGGGATAGTGTATATGATGCCTTATTACAGCTCTCCGGCAGTAGCAAATCCTCACGGTTTTCTAAGCTTCGGAGCGATGATATTGATGGTCATATCATGCAGCTAAGTCCTCTTATAGGTACGATCATCCTATTGCTTTTTTGGGTTATTGTTTTGGATGCTTTCCTTAAGCATATTTGCTGTTGTTTTCGTGTTTTCGATTCCAAGTTTTGTAAGATGGCTAGCTGAACTGTTTTTCAAACTTTTTGGAGCAACAGGATTTGGAACACTTCTAATATTATTTAGTCGATGCCTTTAGTGGGTTCCCTAACAAGTTTTTTTTTTACATAAAAGACGTCACCGTAGAGTTCATTTCACCATAGAGTTTGAACTTTTTTCTCATTGGAGATGAAAACGGGAAAATCTACGACTGCAAATAGAAAACGTTGGTGTAGTCCATGACTACAAACTGAAAACGTTGGGAATGTTCATGACTACCAACTTTTACCACATGCGAATTTCTTATTCACTTCCTAATAGACAGTTAATTTTAATTTTTATTTATTATTTTGATACGACCTATCTTTCACATCTATTGTGCCCATCTGACCTGTTCTAACATTCGATTCGTTTCCTGGCATCCGTCGTCCACGAAGGTCTTCCAACGTTTACGTGTGGCTTGGGCTGCGGCTTGAGGATTTTCATCATATCAAATGTCTTAGAATACTGGTCGAGTCGATTCTTCCTGGAGTCCTGAGATAGCCGGGCGGATCGTCCCCAATTGAATTACAGAGAGTGATTTTATCCCGAACAAGTGTGGTACCAATTTCTCGATCACGGAGGGATAAGAGGCTTGGTGAACCCGGAGCGGGGTTGAACTGTGCTATCTGCTCCCTGTTATTGATATGTTGTGGAAATAGCGTTATTAATAGGATCTAACGACGAATTTCCTTTTCGCGAGCAAAGTTTGTTTCAAGTGAGGTTTTTTTAAATGTCAAGAACACTGAGCATTTTAATGGAAACAGCTATGGGAATCATGTTTAGGATTTACTATCTACCATCAATGGGCTATTCTTCTTTGGTCGCTTGGTCGTTCGGCTAGTAAAATAAATAAATCGCTGCTTTTTTTTTGAAAAAAAAATCTTAAATGCAGCAAATTTCTCCATTTGCAAAGGCAGCTAGCTGACTGTTTTGATGAAGGAGCTACTAACGACCCACTACGGCATCCCCTGGTTTCAGCGAAAATCACACTCAAGCAGCATTCAAGATGTAAATGAAAGGTAGGGGTCAAAGGAGTACGGTAGATCTTCGAGTCTCGGCCAAGCTAATTATCGTCCATTTCTTATTCTTCCCATTGCTCAGCAGGCAAAAGGAAGGAAATGGTTTGGCTATTTATTTACTAGGTATTAACATATGAAATGTCCGATTTTGATTGTAAATTTTTTTAAATTGAGTAGGTACCATTTGAATTTACACATTTTTGCCAACATTTAACAGGTTTAATTGTTTTGGTTACATAAAATTCTGGAGTTCTGGGAGCGATGGATTCGTTGAAGGGATTTTTTGAGTCATCGTGGTTGGTGGTGACCTCGGCCAGAGAGTTGTCAAAGTGCTTGAAGAAGTGATAGGTGAATAGGTAGGTAGGTGGTAGGCGTGAGGTTTGGTGAATATGGCGGATGAAGCAAAGTTTCGTAGCCCAATTCGTTTAACTTCTGCAGCGCTGGTTCCGCAACGTGAGGCTGGGCGTTGTTGTGGAGAAGGATCGGTCCTTTTCAGCTGAGCTAATGCCTGTCGTTGTTGTTGGAGTTTCTTCGTCGATTTGTTGGCAGTACTTCTCTTCCGTAATCGTTTCGCCCGGATTCAAAAAGCTGTGTTGAATCAGTCCGGCTGCAGACTACCAAATAGTCACCATAACCTCCTTTTGGTGCAATTTCGGCATCGGTTGCTGTGGAGTTTGATCGCAATCCAATCATTGAGCTGAACATTGCCGGTTATCGTGTAGAATCTACTTCTCGTCGCATGTCACAATTTGTTCAAGAAAAGGGTCGTTTTGTTGCGCAGAACACGAGCAAATGACACTTCAAAACGGCGATTTTTTTGATTATCGTTTAATTCGTGGAGCGCCCACTTGTCAAGCTTTCTTTGTCTTTTCTATGCGATTCAAGTGAGTGGAAATCCTTCCTGTGTTTATGTCAAGCTGTTCTGCAAGCTCTGAAACAGTTGTTCGCGTGTTTGCTTCCACCAGTGCCTTCAATTTGTCGTCGTCAAGTTCATTAGGACGTCCGCGTCCTTCCTTATCTTCGAGGTCGAAATCACCAGACCGAAATTTCTGGAACCGTGTTTGCACTGTTCATTAACCAACACTGCGTTCACCTCAAACTTTATTAATGTTTGGAGCTCCTACCGCGGCATTATGTCCACTTTTCTAATCGTATAAGAAAAGGACACGATTACCACGTTGATTCGTATTGAGGTTAAGGCTTATAGGAATGTTGAAATAAAAATCCTTGAGAAAAGTCAATGCTAGAAATGGAAGGAGCAGACTTTGTGCTTCAAAAGTATATTTTAAACCTAAACAAAAAACGGACGTTTCATATGTAGCAACGTAATAGTTGATTTGAACGTTAACTCTTCGCAAAAAGTGGTGTCTACTTAACAAAATGCAAAGACATAAATAGATGCGCTTTCATCTCAGGTGTTGCTAACAGGTAACTCGAACACATCTTCATGAATATGTTTTGCTCAAGCAATCTTGCACTCTGATCAAATAAGATTTCTTTCGAATCGCTTCCAGCGGAATATATTCACTATTGAATCGCTTGTCCATGCTCGGTTGAGGTTTTGACGCTTTACACGAGTTTGGTTCACCTAACTCGCATTTCATTTCGTTAAGACCTTAAAGATTTCGCGAACGAAATGTTAGGTAACATACCCATTAGCACACATATAAAGAAATAGAAAATACTTGAAACACCAGTCATTTTTTGACGTTTTGAGAAATCCTGTATGGAATGGTTTTAACATTATTTAAATTATTTTATTAGTTTTATTATTTGTTATTAGTTACTTATGAGCAGTTATTTGATTGTTTATTGATTATTTTATTATTATTTATTGTCACTAAGTTTTTAAATTTTGAACCACTCTCACTCCCTCCGCTTGTTATAACTCAGTTAACAGAGGTAAATTATTCCTCTTTCATGCGATGATATTACTATTTGATCGTCACTGTTGAGCAAATCGGTTGTTGGTGTGTGCGATCGTAGGAAATTGTGATGGCCTGTCATCAAATTCTTCTTCCTTCTATTGATCTCAGCATTTTCATCTGTTTTCCTCCTCAATACTTGTAAGGAAGGGGTCTATTTAGTCTTTAGAATAACTTGGGGACCAGGAAACGTCAAATAACAATTTTCGCAATTTATCAGCCACTTTCGTTTCTAGCTAAACCGGTCGATCATTGTGTGCTGAGATGGTTTGGTTAATTTTAAAGTCCTATTTGATGATCGTTGTTTTTTCTAACTGATAATCTAACTGATACCACCCAGAAAGAAAAAAATGATTTTAGTTTGAGTAGGTGAAAACAGATCAGAAGCTCATGAAATGTATTGGCGCCGCTGCGATATCGCTTAGGACATGAATTTGATAAATTTGTGCTTACATCCAGAAGTTGCATCGGTTTTAGTGTTTTACTGGATCGTGCAGGAATGCTTGTTGGCATTTAGTTAAGCAATGGATCAGAGTCGCTATTATGGCTTTTTATTTAATTTTAGCTCAAACGCTCGATAAGAACTCATGGGTGTATGATGTTACTGGTCTTCTGCAGCACTGTGTTGCTGTACTTCGTTTCTGTCATCTGTTGACCGATCAGCTGGCCGCGATCCCATTGCAACATGCTTCTCCACAGCTTAGCCATATGCTGCGCCAAGCAACACTTCGCGTGATGCCACGATTTGATGATCTACTTAGCGCTGTCGCTAGTCCTGCTGTAAGCTGCTGCTTATTTTATATAGTATCCAAATATTAGAAATGATGTGTTTTGTTGCAGGTTGACATTCGTGTTCTCGAGGCCCGTGCAACTGCTCTCGCTACCGTATGCTGGGCGTTGTATCTGCCATTCTCGCTCATCAGTCAGAAGTATAGGGAGGTAAAAAAATAGATTATTTTGGAGTGGTACACTCTTTTGGTATTGTAAAAATTTTTCTCGTAAAAAGTCATGGTATAGGATGGCTTTTCTAGAGCATGGGTGAACCGTTGCAGCAAATGGATCATCACCTCTGCGCCCTTCGTCAGGCTGCAGAAATTGCAGAGCGTGCCAGTCTTGGAAAGGTAAGTTATTCTGTGGAGCCACTTTTTTGATTTTGCACCGATAGGGTGATCCGACTTAAAGGTTATAAACTTTTCATTCGTTCAGTTGGAGCTGGATTGGTCTCATATTGATGCAGTTGCTGAGCATGTGGCTGCTAAAGAGGCAGCCAGTGTTGTGACAGAAACAACACCGCTCGTGGATTCCATTAAATGTGAACTGACTGGTAGGAATACTGCCAACGAGTCTGATTTGTAAGTTTTTTTTGCATCCAACCCGGAGAAAAAGAGCAACAATGTCGTGATCTGAGAGTTGCTTCGTGCAAAATGTGGCTTTGAAGTTTCTAGAAAAGCTTTGTTTTGTTCTTTGTTTTTTCAGGAGCATTTAAAATTCCTTACTAAGTTAGTTTTCTAAACGGTCTTATGTTTCCAGAACGAATTCGGTTCATGGAAACGGCAGTCATCCTGTTGACCCCAGTGGATAGCATTTGTTTATGATTGTGACACGATTTTGTTTCGTTGGATTTACGTCTACGATTTCAAATTTTTGCAATTTTCACAGGTAATTGAAATCGTCTCGCAAAAGAAAATCAGGTATTTACTACCATTAACGGGCTTAATGTCTTAGCGTCATTATGTCATAACATCCTAATTTTAAGGTTGAAAACTAGTATCTCTCGTATCCATCGTCATATAATTGCACATATGTTGTTAACTCGTGGTGCTGTTTGAATGACAGCTCTCACTGCTCATGTATCCTTGTTAGTGCTCTCTTTTTTTCCTTTTGTTCGTCCGTGGAATAACCACTTAATCACCAGGATTTTCAGGATTTTATTGTTAATCAAATTGCATCCATCATTCTAAATCTTAGTCGTAGTCCTTAGACATCGTTGTTATTTGTTTTTACCACTACACGACCTGCAAACAATTTATCTTAAATTCAGTGACTTAGCTTCAAACTTCATTCGTAGTGGTGGAGGCAAAATAACACCTACATTGCAGTTTATGATTCCAACGACCGACTTTCTGTTATTCTCGGCATTGATCGAATAATTCTTTATATTCTCATTGAGCAAACACGATATATTATGTTGTTTCTTTATTTACAAGCAAGCTGACGTTTCGGCGGATTTCGCCTTTTTCAAGGAGTGGAAAGGTCAAGTTGGTCGTCAGAAACGTCAGCTCGCTTGTAAACAAAGAAATAAAATAACACCTCGTGTTTGCTCAAAAAGAATACAAAGAATTACAGTTTGTATTTATACGTCTTTTCTTTTTTCTCTTAAACCTAAACTACCACACCATCCGCTATTGTGTTACCTCAGACTTGTAAGCATATCTCTTTGAATCTTTTCCGACATAAGTGTTTCCCTTTTGCCGTCGCCTTTTTTCTTTTTTTTTTCCAGAAATTGTTGTTTTGGTCTCGTTATTAACTCGTGTATGTATTACGTTGTTGATATGTGAATGATTTTATTTTCTACGTGGTGCGTTTTTCTCTTTTTCTCTTTTTTTTTCTTTTTTTTTTAAAACTAGGCGATGGTCAAGTCGCCATTTCGTCATCAGAATGGTTACAGTATTGTTGTGTGAGCCGTATCTGGTCAGAACTTGACTGCTGGGTTTACAGTATTGTCATTTTCACCAGGAATATTTTCCAATGAGATGAAGGTGGTCAACAATAAATGATTCTGTGTAAAATGTTGTGTTGAGACTTTTGGCATCAGCAACCGTTTGTAATGTAGTGCATTAGCCTAAACGCTTTACCGACGGGATCTTCAATAGTAAATATGATCTGTGAGAAAGACTCGAGTGTTTAGTGTTTCTGAAGGACGCTATGGCGTCAACGATGGAAATGTTAGTGGATGCTATGGGCACGGTCAGTGAGTCTATTTGATTTCTGTGCTGGTCTTTCAGACATAATGTTTCTTTATTAGTCACCTTCAAACATATGTTGATAGATTTACGCGGTCGATGTGGTGTCGTAGTGATTGCAGTTGTATACGAGACTTGAAATTAATTACTCATTGAAATCAGTTACTTCTTAGTTGGATACTTGGGTTGCCCGTCCAAACTGGTTGTGCGAGCGCCAGTATAGCTTCCATTGTCCATAGTTTTACTGGTTTAACCATTGTAGTTCCCTGGCGTCCCGAGGTTAGCCTCGCTAAAGCGTGCCCTTGGTCGTCACCACCACAGGCAGTCGCCATCCTTGTGGGTCAGGGGGAGATTTGCCACCATGCGGCTAGTTTGGTGCCAAAGTAGTAGTTTATTCTGGTATTGGTTTCCTCCTAGCTCGGCTTTCCGATGGAAACGCCGGACTCAGCTTGGGAGATCCTGCTGGGAGGATGAATTCCTCCGCTGGACATCGCAACTCGACACCCAGGAACGTCTCCCAACCACAATGGGGCTGCAAGCCGTTAGGAGGAAATTTGTTAAACTGTGCGAATAATGTGGAAATGCAAAATACAACCTTTGTTACTAAGTTATCTCGATTCCTATTTGATGAAGTGTAGATTACGTGTGCTTTAGTTCATTCGTTTAGAAGTCACCGGAAGAAATTCGAAATGTGTGTTTAATCGCTCATGTCGACCATGGTAAAACTAGCTTTGCCGACTCGCTTCTATCGACAAATGCGATTATTTCTGGTGAGGATCATTGCTCTATTTCTTTCATATTTCTCAATCATAGCCCGAGTTAAATTCTTAGCTCGAATGGCTGGAAAGCTGCGATTTCTGGACAGTCGCGAAGACGAGCAAACACGTGGGATAACAATGAAAGCTAGTGGAATGTCGTTACTATATGGGCCAATGCTAGTAAATCTGATGGATAGCCCAGGTTAGCAGCCTATGGCACTGTTAATGGTTGTCGTTCTTGTTTGTTACTTTGAGAATCGTTGAGATTCAACTATAATGATGCTGAGGATTTGCAAAACTCCTGACCGAAGGTGCTTGCGGCGAGAGTCGACCCTCGTTGTTACCGTTTCTGGGGACTGACGTGTACACCATTACACTATTTATGTCCTTCGTTTCGCCTTTCTCTCAGCCGTGTTCAATGCCGATTTATCCTCACCAGATCAATCTCGACGGGTGATTGGCTATAGAACACGGCTAAGAAATAATAGACGAAACGAAGGACACGCACGGTGTGGTGGTGAACGCGTTACTCCCCAGAAAGGACAAGAACGCGTTCGTTCCCCACCGCAGACACTTGCGGTCCGGAGTTTTGTAAATACCTCAGCATCATGTATTTCGCATAATACCCTGCCATGAAGAAAGAATAGGCAGTAAATAAAAAGTGATTACCTTGTTGAGATCGTTACAGGTCATGTCGATTTCTCTTCCGAAGTCAGTGCGACCTTACTGCTTTCTGACATTGCCTTGTTACTCGTTGATGTGGTAGGTTTCAATGGGTTTTATAATGACAAATGCTAAGAAGTCATGAAGATCGGTATTCGTTAAGGTCGAAGGAGTGTGCTCTCAAACTCAAGCTTTATTGCGACAGTCCATTATGTATGGTCAAACTGTTATTTTAGTTATAAATAAGTTGGATAGGTTTGTTATAAGAGTCATTGGATCCGTTGAATAATTTAACCGGTAGTACGTTGCAGTTTTCTTTTTAAGGCTACGGGTAGAGTTGAAAATGGAAACGAAGGAAGCATATGCGCACATTATTCACCTATTGGAAGCGATAAACAGTTGTGTTAGTCAGGTGAATATGTCTAAATTTTGCACTGGACAACACTATTATCGGGCGCATATAGCGCAATGGTCGAAGGCGCCCTACAACACACATGGAATCGATCCTCGATATTGGACTTGTCTGAAAGGATAGCAGTACTGGCTCGATAGATTGGTAGACACCGCGAGTCATTTTGAAGTCCAGATGTGCATTCGTTCACCTCAAACGATGCTTAATGGAGTCGAATGCATGACGCATCCGTAAGGAAGTGATCAACGTTGGCAGCTTTGTGATTTTTTTCGTTATCACTACTGTTACTATTGTTACAACTCCTTTCACAATTTTTTATGTATTCCTTAGCGAAACTTTGATGGTGCTTGAAATTCCAAATTATTTCTTTGAAATGTTAAGGTGGTACAGTGTCTTGCACTTGAAGACGACTCAGTGGAGCGTATTGAAGATTTGGAAGCAAGTCTACATTTCAGGCCAACTAAAGGTATGTTTAGAGGAAATTCTAAATGAATTACTTTCGCTTTTCGTTCGTCCTCTATAATTTACCAATTTTTACGTATAGGAAATGTAATCTTTTCATCGGCTATTCACGGCTACGCTTTCGGGTTAGAGGACTTTGCTGCGATTTACAGTGAAAAACTGAAAATTCCGAAAACCGAACTTACGGAAGCGTTGTTTGGGGATTTCTACATAAGTGGTGGGAAGATCAAGGTGATCAGTACTTCTTACTAAGTATGTTTTTACGGCATGTTTATAACGAGCTTCAAGCGTTTTAGAGTGATGCCGCGTCCCGTGGTAAAACGCAGCTATTTGTTCAATTCGTCCTTGAACCTCTGTGGGCACTTCACGATTGTGGTCTGGTCACCAGTGACTTGCCAAAATTGCTTCAGTTGATTGGTTGGCTTTTAAGTTATTCTTTCATGGAACATCAAATGATTAGCAAGTATGTTCAGCTAGGGTTTTCCTATTCTGAGGAGATTGGCGCGTTTTTGTCTCGGCGTTCTTCCTTGTTTCTTTCTACCTGTTAATAATTTGTTGTTTTATTAGTTTCTGGGGCCCGCGCACCGCAGTGGTCGGAGGCGCCCCGCAATGCACATGCGATCGATTTCCGCTGCCAAGACTCACCTTCCATCCCTTCAGAGTCAGCAAATTCCTATCAGACCTGTTTGGGAGGATAACAACACTGGCTCGATACATTGGTAGGCCACCGCGAGTCATTGTAGAGGCTAGATATGCATCCAGTCACTCCAACGACGCTTGATGATGTTGAATGGATGGCGCGTCGCTTAGGGATTAATCAAAGTCGAGAGCTTTATCCTTTGTCCTCATTTTTTAGCTTCAAACTAAAGTATTTGAGAGACATATTCCAGGTAGATGAGTGCAAGAATTGAATGGCTATCTAAAATTGCGATAAATTTCACTCATAGGTTTTCCTTTTTCAGGTAAAATTGGCTTGAGAGTTAAGTCTTCTCGTACTCCAGATGCCTTCGATGAAGCTATGAGAACGTGGCTTCCTGTTTCACAAGCATGTTTCCGTTGCTGCGCACGAGCACCGTCACCTCGAACCGCGTTCTCTAACAGATACCGGTAAATCCATGATGGTTCGCTTCTGTTCAATCTCTATTTAAGGAATTAGTTATAGAATACAGTATTTGGTTGGCAATAGGACCAATCATCCACTTAAAAACCCGATCCAGGAATGCTCTCGAACAGGTTGATTATCTAGCACTTTCTTCGATATTTGGAAACGTATATGACAATTCAGGGCTTACGGTAGCACTCGTTGTGAAGTTCATTGCTATAGAAGGCCAGAAGTTCTCGGTTTGTCGTATTTTTAGCGGTCAGGTTACTGTTGGAGAACAACTGTACGTTATAGGAAGAAGGGTAAAGCTTTCTCTTTCTCTTCCGATTCAGTCTAGATTAACATATGTGCGTCTATTGATTTTTGCAGGCTTTGAATAACGATTCGCCAGCACCGAAAACCACTGTAGATAGTGTTTATGCATTATATGGTCGAGATCTAGTCCCACTAAAAGTTGCTACTGCGGGAGTAATTTGTGCTATAAAAGCTCAGGGGCTTATTCAGGTAGGTTAAACAATTTTTTTTGCCGAAAATTTCCAAAACATGTTTTTCAGAATGCAACCTTATGTTCTGAAGCAATTAATGAAGGCTTAGATGTTGGAATGAAATATGGAGAACCTCTTGTAAGAGTATCCGTCAGCACACTTAATCTAGAAGATATGGAACGACTACGAGATGGCTTGAAGTCACTTTCTATTTTGGATTCAAGTCTTAGGGTAATTATGTGTATAATTTACTTTGTTGTTGTAATCATCACTATATACCACTTATTCATCCATATGTGTAGCGTAGTGGTAGGAGGCGCCCTGTAGCGCACACGTGGAATCGATCTTCGTGCCAATGGCCCACCAAGCCTTCCATCCCTTCGGGGTCGGTAAATTAGTACCAGACTTATTTGAGAGGATAGCAGCACTGTCTTGATACATCGCTAGGCCACCGCGAGTCATTGTGCGGACCAGGTACATCTCTTAGTGAAGTCGAATGCATGACGTATCATGGATTGATAAACTTTGAGCTTTATCCTTTTTTATGTTATACACCCATATTCATAAGTTTTTGCTGTCCAGCTGTAAGTTGCCTCGGCCTTATATAACTCAATTTTAGGTGTTCGAACTAGATAATGGAGAGTTGGCCATGGTTACTGCAGGAGAAGTTCATTTACAAAAATGTTTGAAGGACTTGGAAGACCTAGGTTTCCGGGATTTGGAGGTTGAGTTTACATGTACATTTATATCCATATTTGTATCCACGTTCTGTTACGGCGTTTATTCTGATTTCATTAAAACATATTCAAATGCTCTTTGTATGCACCACTATCTCTACCAGTTCTCTTTTTTAGGTCTCTAAACCAATTGTACCCTTTCTGGAGACTGTAGTGGCCGATATAAATATGACGCTTGCTCAAATCCAAGATCAAGTCACGGTATCCTGTTCGCCTTTAGTACTGATATTTTTTAGCAATTTGTTTTTCGCTGCTACCTTTACTTTACATGCTGGATACTTTGCATATTTGGATATTTGGATGACCCGTGTTCATTGGTTGTGCGAGCCTCAGTATTTCCACTTCCTCAGAGCTTTGCCGGTTTAGCCATTCTGATTCCTTGGCGTTCCGAGGTCAGCTTGGCCAAAGCCTGCTACATGTCGTCACCACTACACGTAGTCGCCACCCTCGTGAATCAAAAGATTGGCCACCATACGACTAGTCTGAAACCAGGACGGTGGTGGATCCTGGTATTGGTTTGCTCTTAACTGGGATTTCTCATGGAAACACCGGGCTCCCTTTCAGCTTGGGAGGCCCTACTCTCCAGTACCCCCCAGAGGGGTGAATCCCACTGCTGTACATCGCAGCCCGTCACCCAGGAATACCTCACATTCACGATGAGGCGGTAAACCGTTGCCAATTGCTAGTTAATAGATTAAATGCTTTGAAGTTTTAATGAATTGTAGAAAGTTTTGTTTTCTTAGACAAATGGAGCCGAATTTTTCCATGGGCTAATTGTCACAATGTTGTACATTTACAGGAATGCAGATTACGAGATAGTTCCCTGCATATTCGTTTACGAGTTGTGCCACTAGCTGACGAGGTCGTGACTTTATTGGAGGAATATGCGGATTTGTTGAGTTTCATAAAAAGGGGAAATTTGGAAGAAACATGCCTTGCTGATCTCAAGTATGATTTTCTTGACCTCCATTGCTGCCAACTTTTTACGTTTTCCATTGTCAGATCGGCGCTGTTGAGTTCGTGCGAAAAGCATTTGCCACAGGTTCGTGGTTCATGGTGGTATAGGAAAAGCTCCTCTGACATAGCTGACATGGTGGATAAAGTAGGAGTTAAATATGGTTTATTATATGCAGAGTTGTTTGCAAAACTCGAACCACATATTTAGATTTGGAGTTTTGGTCCAGACAGAGCGAGAGCCAACATATTGTTCAATGCGATCCCTAATTACAAACGGAAGTCCATATGGGATAGCAGTAAGTATATGTGAATTGCTCAATCCCACTGTCTTTTCCATTATGATATTGCGAAAGTCTTTTCCTTAGTCTTTTTTAGCCCTTTTGATAAAAATGGAAGTTCTCGGTGTTGATCAATCCCTGAAGGAGGCGCCATGCATTCGACTTCATTAAGTATTGTTGGAGGTCATTGGACGCATAGCTGGCTTTTACAATGACTCGCGATAGCCTACCGAATACCTACCTATCGATGCTGCTATCCTCGCAGACAAGTCGTGTACTCTTCTTCGTCCAATTCGTCGACTTCGGAGGGATAAAAGGCTTGATTGGCCTCGGGTGCAGAGATCGATCCCATGTGTATTGCACGGCGCCTAAGACCACTGCGTTACACGCGCCCAAACTGAAGTTACATCTTGAAAGTTCTCTGCAATGATTTACCATTTTATTTTAGTGGAAAGACGTCTCTAATTGCCTAATTTTAATGTTGACTTTTTATTTACAGCCTATTATAATTTTTCACACCAGGGTATAATGTGTGATACAACCACAATGATGTTGAGATATTTGCGAAACTTTGGACCGCAGGCGTATGCGATGGAGGCTAGTGCGTTTGTTCACCACCACGCCATGCGTGTCCTTCGGGGATAGCGCATTCCTTCCCCGCCGCAGACGCCTGCAGTCCGGAGTTTTGCAAATATCTCAGCATCACTGTGGTTGTCTAATTTTAGTTTCCTAGCACAGTAGAGGCATATTTGTATCTTCTTTACTTGGAATTTTTTCTATTGTAAGTACCGCCTTCAGCAAAATAGCCTCTAACCGCGAACAAAAAATCCCAGCGATAAAGTTTTTTGTGGATTATTAAGCGTAGATGCTGCACCATCGGTGTGGCATAAACCATCATTGACAAGGAGATATGTTGATATCGATGCGTTTTAGACCACTTTGCACAGCAACACATGTGTTGGAATGAACTTATGTGAAGCTGTATTTGTTATGACATAGTTGTTTTCCCAGCGATGTTCTAAGTTAGGTAACTTAATTAGTGGCTGGTCGATTCAATTATTAACGGAATAGCAGGTGGCTTAGCTTAAGAATGGATTTGCTGTTGCAGAATGTGAATTCGGAATCCGTCCTCTCGACCAAGCGATGGTGGCTGGCTTCGAATTATTCGTTAGTGCTGGTCCTCTCTGCCACGAAGTGATGCGAGGTGTTGCAGTGGTTGTAGAAGAGTGGACGGTAGATGAGGAGGTGTGGACACTTTACAAGTAGACTCTATAAATATAATACTAAAGTGGTGATTCATCTCAGTCGTTAGCTCATATTCCATCGAGTTCTTTACTATAGGATATCGCAGTCGCCGGACAGTTGATGACGGCGATGCGATCTACGTGTCAAGCTGGTGCTAAGAAAGTAGCTCTTCGGCTTGTTGCAGCGATGTATAGGTTCGCTTTTTATTGTGTGTAGTCTGTTAGTGAACAAATAGATAGATGAATAAGTGAAAACCCATTTTCAATCCATCTGTATGCTTTTTTCTGTAGTTTAATACTTACTCGGTTGCTTGGATGACCCGTACTCACTAGTTGTACGGGCCTCAGCATAATCACCACTTTATCGAAGTTTTGGTGGTTTAGCCATTATGGTTCCTTGGAGTCCTGAAACCAGCCAGGCCAAAGTCTACCCCAAGTCGTCTCTACCACAAGCAGTTGCCGCCCTTGTGGTTCAGAGGGAGATTTGCCACCATGCGACTAGTAGTTTGGACGGTGGTGGATCTTGGTATTCGTTTGCTCCTTGCTGAGCTTCTTGATGGAAACGTCGCACTCCTTCTTAGCTTGGGAGACCCTGCCGGGGAGATGAATTCCTCCGCTGTACATCGCAGCCTGACACTATAGAACACATCTCAACAACAGTGACGCGGTAAAATAGTTTAATAAGTTGTATCATAATAAAATAGCCGACTATTTAGCTTATTATTCGGGTTTAGAGCAAATAATTGCTCCAAATGTTGCCAATCGTATGAGACATTTTAGATGTACGGTAACAGCTGCAGTTCAAGTTCTTGGAAAAGTACACAGTGTTCTTGGACAGCGGAAAGGCAAGGTCATGCTGTTCTCGTTTTCGAAGTTTTTTTTTAAATAGAATTTTTGGCACTACTCCGTTTTTTTTTTCGAAATTATGTTCATCAATGTTTTTAAAACCTCATTTTACCTTTTGGTTCCCTTTTTAGCTACCTCCTCCCAACGGTTTACCGCCTCACCGTGGCTGGGAGGCGTTTCTCGGTGTCGGACTGCGATGTACAGCGGGGGGATTTGTTGCCCCTGCAGGGTGTTCCAAGCTGAGAATGAGTCCGGCGTTTCCATCAGGAAGCCTAGCTAAGAGTAAACCAATACCAGTTTCCGCCACCGTCCTGGTATCAAAGTCGCATTGTGGCAAATCTCCATCCACAAATGCTACGACTGCCTGTGGTGGTGACGACCTGGGGCAGACCTTGGCCAAGCTGACCTCGGGATTCCAGGGATCCGCGGTGGCTTGGCCAAGGGGTCTTCGATAAGTGTTGATTATACTGGAGCCCGCACAACCAGTGAGGATGGGCCGTTCAGGTCTCAAGTGTGGGGTTTTAGCTGCCTTATTTGTGTTTTTCTTCAATCACCTTATCTAATTGTATTAATCATCTTGCCAAAGATTGTGTAATGAACATTACATTACATTTTAAACCTTTTTTAATCTAAGATATTGAATGAGGATGTTAATGAGGCGACGGGACAGTATGAGGTAACAGCACTAATACCAGTAATCGAGACGTTCTCGTTTTGCGACCACCTCCGAAAGAGCACGTCCGGAATGGCAAGTGCACAGTTGGAATTCAGTCACTGGCAGTTAATTGATGAGGTAATTTGTTAACCTCGTTATAGTTAACAGTGCTGTATGAATTCGGTTCATAATACGGCAAACTTCCTTGTGATCCAAAAAGGCATAGGTTGCCTATGGGAACGCCTAGTACGGTTACGCCACTATTCCTACGGGTATCGAGGTCGATGAGAATTCAGCCTCTCATTGGAGAGGACACCAGTTTCTAAAGTTTTTGCCGAGCCTACTAACGATTTTAACAGTCTTTGTGAATGATGATTACAAGGCAGCGAAACAAATGGAAGAAGTGGAGAGGCTTACACAACGTGTGAAGTCAGGTCTTATAAGGAATTCCACACTTGCTTGGACGGTCCGTCTACAAGAGTAATGCGACTATCAGGCAATTTTTCCACTTCTTTCTCTCACAATAATCATCTGTGGTTGTAATCTAATTTTGTCCATGTGCAGCTGCAAATCCAATTGAATCATATTACAACCACAACGGTGTTGAGGTATGAGCGAAACTCGAAATCCCAGATGGGTTTCGGACCTGCGATTACCCTTACTGGGGGCTTAGTGATATTCACCATACCAGCTAAGGCCCTTTTTTTGCCTTTTTGGCACCCTTGGTTTCCTCTCTCGAAATCTCCCTACAACGGATATGATCCGGGGTGTAGATGTCGGCACTGGACCAAGTTAAACAGAAGCTACATTCTAAATGACAGTATCTTAACATTTATTTACTACCAGTTCTTTTATCAGGACGAAGTACGATGTGAACTAAACCAAGTTAAGTTAAAACTTAAAAGTTGAGGTACTGTGGTTGACTGAGACGAAATGATGTCGCCCATTGAATACCGTCGATGACAATGATTAAGTATGCGACAATAGAATTTTTCTCAACAGGAGTTTGGCCATGAACATTGATTCATTCGAACAAGAGACAACGCATTCGGACGAATACGGTCGAATAGGGATATGGATAAGTACTGACTTTGACAATCTTCTTCGTCTACGCACCGAAATAAAGCTATGACGAAGATGAATTCGAAGCGTTCTACACGGACTTGACAAAATTCTACAAAGAAAAACATACATTCTTCATGACCACCAATGGAGATTTTATCACTAATACTGGACACAGAATGACATCTGAGGAACGTCACATTGGGACAGATAAGAATGGAACAGGCAGGATAATCAGCTATCTGAGTTCATCATGACAACGAAGTCCCTTACTAGTACACTGCGATTCCAAATGCCCCACTATCAGCTTTGAACGCGGAAATCTCCCATTGTAGGGCGCTTTTGCGAAGTAGCACATTATAGTAAATCGAAGGTTTTGGTTAGCCGATGTCGCTGTTGCTCCCTCCAAAATTTTACACGACAGTAGACCATCGCCTCCCTCATGGGAGATTCCATTTTTCGCGGAAAGGGGAGAAGGCCACTGTGTTCAGAAAGTGAAATCCGAAAGGCACCATAAATTGGGATTAATACGCTCTTCGATTGCTAAGCAAACACGAGGTTGAAAAAAATATTTATTCGGCTTACGTTCCGACATCTTCATCTTTCTCAGAATTTTTTCTTCAGTCTTCAAAAATGGGATTTATTCAGTACATTAGTCTTCTTCTGGGAGGATGCCGTACTTTATAATATCGACGAGGAATACAGTCGGCTCATTCAATATCTTTACGTTAGTATTATGAAAGCTGACAGTCCATAAGTCACCAAAGGACGTCTGTCTCTTGAAACCGTTGGGGTTGATCTCAAGTCCGTACTTGCAAAACAATGCAGACGGGCGATAAAACAAGATCTTAAATAGAGAAGAGCAGCAGTTATGGTCGAAGCTACAGAGGCGGGGAAAAGCATTTGCAAGCCCACCGGAAGTTCGTCAATTACAAAACCGAGATAGTTGCACTCCGACACCCAGGCGGAATAGCTATAGCTTCCATAGAAGCAGTAGAGAAAATTATTCACGATTACTATTCGGATCACCTCAATAACCACGACCTCCTGACCTCATATTAAATGAAGGAGGATGGATATGTCGTCCCACCGGTCTCCACTTCTGAAATCCGACATGCCACTACGCCGGTGAAGAATCGAAAAGCACCAGTTCCGGATAGGATAAGGTCAGAACATTGATGCGGCAATTTACACTTGTCAAAACACATGCCTGCTGTTCAATGGAAGATCGGCAAGACCGTGCTATTGTTCAATAAGGATGACCCCACGTTATCAGGAACTATCGTCCAATCTTCTTGCTGCCTTCGTTTATAAACCCTTCGCTAGAGTCATCCCAAACAGGATTTAAAGAACACTGGAGGAAGAACAGCCATGTGAGCAAGTAGAGTTTCTAGAGCACGATCGACCACATCCACATGGAAACAAGATTATTAAAAAATTATTGAAGTATCGCCATAATACAAGAGTCTGCTTGTACCACCTCTCACCTGTTGCCTCTCACCTATCAGTTCTCACCTATCGGCTCTCACTGATCACCTCTCACCGATCACCTGTCACCTATCAACAGAAGTCCTATCAAAAGAAGGAGAGGAAAAAGAAGGAAGGAAAAGAAGTCCATGCTCTGGTTCGACCTACTCAACGATGTAGAAGATCGGTTTTGCTCAGCGTTCAACCTTCTATACGTTACGTGAGAACTCATCACGTTGCATTGCATTGCAACTAATCTGTTGGGGATCTCTCGTTGAGAAAGGGCCGTTGATAAGGTTGTAGGTTATCTGAATTTTACACTTTGCTGAATCAAATGTTCATCCTTTTGGAGTCGGATTTATATCTGTAAAATGTTGACTATTTTCTTCTGACCGTATATCATGCGTGACGTGTATTATTCTCTGAACATTTTCATTATATTCCTATCTGTCCGGCTAGCATCCCTAATCCCTGATTTTAATCGACCTTACAGGATCCGTATTGGCAGCCTACTACGTTAGAAGAGATGGAAGAATACGGCGTCAAAGGTGATTCACCAAACCATGCTCGCGGTTATATGGACGCCATTCGACGACGAAAAGGCCTGCCAACTGACGACGTAATTGTCGTTTCAGCGGAAAAGCAAAGGAATCTGAAAAAGAACAAGTAGAAAGGTGTTTGATTACACTAAAGTCACTTCAATATTTGTTTATATGTATGTGCATATATCTATGTATGTGTATATACACATGTACATATATATATACATATCTATATACACATACGTATATATATATATATATATATATATATATATATATATATATACGGAGGAGCACTACCAGTTGTACATTGTATATTCAGAAATGAAAGGAGGACAATAAATACCTTAGTATTAAGATTCAAGTACTGCTCATACGACCATAAAAAGGTTACGTTAATTTGGAAAATATCTATACCAAATCGTTTGCAATTTATTATGCTAAGCGCCATAAAATTTTTCGAAAGTGTGAGAAAGGTGAGTTGTTAGAACTAAACACCAAGAACATCTGTGTTTGAAAACCGACACTCATTCAAGCTCTGTTTGACTGATCAATACGTATCCTTTCACTGATTAGCTAATACGATGTTAATTAAAAAAAGATTTAGTAAACTGACGTTTCGGCGCCTTTGTCTTCGGAGCCAAATTGTTCCGAGAATATTGTGCACAGGTATTTCTTCTTCCAGTGCCGGTCTTTATGATCGCATCGAGTTCAATTCAGTGGGGCATAACTAGAATAGTGTAACCACACAACGCAGTGCTCATTCATATAGGTTGGTTGTTGATACTCGTTTTCCATCGGCGTTGGCGTTTTTTCGACATTGCATGCTGCTTGAGTCGGTATCATTATCAGCTAGCAGAAAACAAAAATATTAAGAGCTGATACCAAAAACTGAACACAATCTGAAGAAAGAGAAGGAGCAAAACGTTAGCTGAGTAAACCTCATTTTGTTACACTGGCGTTAGCTTGCCAATGAACGAATTTCTATGTGTTAACCTGACCTGACTCGTTTAAACAAAGAAACCATATTTTCGCTTTATTTTCTAATTAAGAATATATGTATTCCTTCATATTTTGTATGTTATGTGGTTGATTGGTTGTTGCGTGGTTACGCCAATGGTTAATCGATAAAATATGGTAATGTGTTGAAATCCAGCCCCTAGCCAAAACGCGCTATTTTTTTAAGCATATAGCGCGTGGCATCCTCGTTAATTAACGAAGCAAAGGCGGCCCTATCCGGGAGCGAACCGGACACCTACTGTGTGTGAAGAAGACGTGATAACCACTACACCATAGGGCCTAGTTGTCGCAAGTTAGAGGGAAACAACAAAACCCTGTAGATGTAGACCTGACTTCCTCTTAGAAACGTAATTTTTGAGCAAATAGCGTGGGTTTTCCTGCTTCATGAACGATGTAAAAAGAGAGTTTCGCCGACACCGCCGACATTCAGCGTATGCGGCAGACGTGATAACCACCACACCACGGTACTCTCACATTTTTTTCGCATTTAACCGTTGAAAACAGTGTAAACAAATCCCCTGGTGGAGATGTCCAAATCTGACTTCTAGTAATAAACACACTAACTATCCGAGTGCGCAGTGTACGCTGTCTTGTTCAATGAACGATGCAAAACAAGGTCCTTGCTGGGATCGAACCGGCGACCTTCTGCGTGTGAAGCAGACGTGGTAAACACTACATATAGTGGCGGCTGCGATGGATGCACTTGCGTGGTAGTGACCGTTGAGCCGCTCACTACTTAGTAGTTGTAGTTCAGTGGTGAGAATATTAGGCTGTAGTAAATATTAGATAGTGTACGGTCTATCGACTAGTTGTCTCTGCTTGATTCTCGAAAGTGGTTCTGTTTTGTGATCCTTATTATTTGATAGTTCTGCAATATAGGTAATATAGGTGCAATATAGCAATACCCTTTGAGGTCTGAGACGCTGTGAATCGAGAGTCAAGAAATAGGTATCGTAGTTCTAGGGTACTACAATTGATCTATAGGCTATGATTGCCCAATGAACCAACAACTAGGGTTCCACGTAAGAGTTTGGCGATTGACATGCTCCTTTGATTGCAGCCCCACACGGTGTTGATCTGCTAGTTTGGAGGAATTGTATTTGCTCGTTCTTCGCCACGCGGGTCTTGTGGTTGTTGTCTTTACAGCGCAAATCTCAAACTTGGGTAATTAAACCGTTTATACCAATATTATAATAATAACGAAAAGAAGATACTAAAAGCAGTATAAGTGGCGCGTTGATAACAGGATTACCAAATAAGCGTAAGACAATAAGTAAAAAGATACCTTAAGGTAGGAGAGTAGTTGGATTGGCTGTTGTGTTAATATGAGAAAGAGCTTTCATATAAAAGTACAATTTGACCTATAGAGGTGAAGAGCATATGGTAGCGCGGGTACCAATGGGACCAGATGGTTGTTGGCGCGAATGGCATACCGTAATTAGCTACCGTACTAGTAGTGAGGAATGTGAAGAAAAAGACAATGCTTAAGCCAATGAGGTGTTAACATACAACAAAACTACAGAATGTTGCTTAACTCTTACAGATACAATGTCATGTTAAGTATGTATACTAGGGAAGATCAGTGACTGTCTGAGAGGTTTCCTACAATAAAGTACGGTAGAGCAATTCTATGACAAGAGGTGAACGGAGATGGTATGTGGCAAGAACTGAGATGGCGAGTGGGAAGAACTCCGACACGTGGGCCTCACCAGCAGACCGCGGTTCTTTTATACTGCCTCAGGGAGCAGGCAGATGGGTACTGTTGTTGACCCTTACGTCGTCCTCGTATATCACAATTATGGTGGCAAATGCATAAACAATATTGTGTTCTATTTGGTATTGAAAATATATGATATTGTTTATACTAACGTATCCTTTATTTTTGACAACCTCAACTCGTGGGCAGATGCTGTTCATCGTTGGTGACCGCTCTCATTGTGCTGATAGATGGTAATTATAGTTGGGTGACCCGCTATCGTTGTTGTCGTTGTTGCAGATAATTCTTTGCGTCACATCTGGCTAGACGTCAATCACTATCAGAAGATATATAGAATAAAGTTACTATAGAGGATATTATTTTCTACTAGATAATCTTTATTGGTCGACTTGTCGACACTCCGGCCCGGCTTTGTTCGTTTCGGCGTGGCTTTTGTTGTCGGTCTTTTTCGGTGGTGTAGGTATATTTTACTAATATAGGCGGTGTTGAGTGCACTACGTTGCTCGAATTCGTCATAGGTATTTGGTTCCTTTGTCGTGGACGAATATCCTGCGGGAGCAGTTGAGTACATGAAATAGTAGCCAGAAAGGGAATATTATTAGTTTGGCTATCAGTCTGAATATACACGAAACGATCCTTGTTCCGAACATTGAGATGCATCCGTAGGTGAGTCCTATCAGAAATAGCAGGAAGAATAATGCAGTTGTTAATGTTTTATACCACTGTAGTAGTACGTCTGCAATGTGCCAAAAGTCTGGCCATTGTACTTCCTCCTCGGTATTGGCTGTTCCATACAGCCATTTGTTGAACATTGTGTTGGCAGTGTTTGTGAATTTTAAAATCCCGCCTATTTTGAAACTGGTGACTGTGGTTCCGCATGTTACTGTGCATCTTTCTTGGACACGAGCGTTACTGAAACTGAAGCGAAGTTTTGAATTTTTACCGTCTTGGTCGCATGGTACTGTGAATGTTGCCGTTGTACATACTATTTCAGCTTGGGCAGGCTTTAAAGAAGTGCACGTTATGTGCGCAACTGCTCCCTTAGCACATTTATAACAACCTTGTATATGGGCGTTATCAATTTGACATGTTGTGCTGTTCACAATGACGTCTGTCCTTACATCATCTTGAATATTCAAGATAATTTCAGCCGTAATCATGCTTGGAATAGTCGCTTGAATGCGTCCCTGCCTTGTTTGATGGAATGTTAGTGATGGGAGAATGAGAGGTAATTATACCTCATGTCATTGAAGGATAAGGAAATGTTTCCTCTCTACAGTTGCAGTTAGCCTGATTTTCTGCTGGATAGCAAGTGCACTCTTCTTCAACTTTGCATTTAAGGTTCCTGGCTGTAGTTCGATTGTTACATTGGAGAGGTGGTGATACGCGTGCGTACCATATCGCAGTTTGGTTTCCGTCCGAGATGAATGGTGCGCTGAGTGTTGGAATAGGTGGCACGGTTATAGAACTCAGGGTATATGTGAAGGAAATCCATGTAACTGGAACGTTTGGTCGCATGTGCAGCATGTGGGATTGTGTGTTTCCTTCAATAGCGTTGAAATTTGTAATTTCGACGTTCGTAGTTTCGGTCCAACGGAAGTAGTGAAATATTTCATAAACTCGTGCAGACGTCGGAATTAAGTAAATGCGATAGAATAAGCACCCTAAGCTCCAATAAAAGCAATCGCAACCAGGTCCTCCGCAAGATTCAACACGGGCTGTTATACCCGGATAGATGTTCCCGGGTTCTAATTCAGGCAATAAACTCGAAGAGTTTACCTGAGCGCACTTTGTTCCTTTGCACGATCCTGTATGGGGACATCTTTTGCTGTCCACTATTCTATAAGTAGTGTCGCGAGTGAAGAATTCGGTTTCTGGTTCGCAAGAGAGTGTAAGTGAATTCCATACAATACGGATCTCGTGCAACGTTGTTTATTTGCGGAGCGGTTTAAAACAAGCTTCTCTTTTGAATGGATTGATCCTTAATATATGGGAGATTTTCACTTTGCAAGTTTCAGTGTAGTGTCGACAAGGACCTGGTCTTGCATTGTTCGTTGAATAAGACTGCGTACATTGCTCACTCGAATAGTTGGCGTCTTTATTACTGGAAATCAAATTTGGACATCTCCACCAGACATTTTGTTTACACTGTCTTCAACGGTTGGATGAGAAGTGGACGGTGCGGTCCTGTGGTGTTGTGGTTATCACGTCTGCTTCACAAGCAGAAGGTCCCCGATTCGGTCCGGGCAAGGATTTGGTTTCGCATTGTTCATTGAACAAGACAACGTAAAGCGTGCACTCGAATAGTTAGTGTGTTTATTACTAGAGGTTAGATTTAAACATCTCCAAAACACATTTTGTTTGCTTTCACACCAACGGTTGGATGAGAAG